AAAATAAATGTGATGTTTCTCACAGGTACATCTGTTGCTGTTTTTGCAGTTCTTCATCCGTTTTATGAAAAAAAATCTTACAAGAAAGTTTTATATTTTCTATAATAATGAAAAGTCATAAAAAGGCTTACTTTCTCCTTCATGGTTTTTTCTAGATGGAAAATGTACTTTTTTTATAATAAGTTAACATGCAAAATACATAAAAATACATACAATGTATAAAATGGAATTTATTTCATATAATCATTGAGGAGAAAGGCAATGACTATTTAAATTAATCCGAGGTGCAACATTCGATCTTAAATTTTGATTTCATTATATTGTTATATTGCAATTTATAAAGGATTATTTTTTTTAATTTTATTTGAGCTAATTTATGTACAAATGTGAAAATAACAGATCACGAAAAGAAGCAACAACTTAACCTTATTTTCATTGTTTTAGACTCATTTTATAGATAATTGTATGATAAATGTGAACAAATTTTTTATAATCTTGCAGGGTCACGTACTTAAGTGAGAATTCCAAGTGAATTTCAAATTTAAGGCCAAATTATTGGAAGCATAGCTGAGAGATATTTTTTCCAGTTTGGCTATTTTGATCTGAAATTGGAAATTTACTTGGTGTCCTCACAGTGAATAACGTTGAGAGTCATCTAAAAGTGGTTTTGGTGGGAGGAACACCTATACTGCCCCTCCTAAAGCCAGCCTTATGCCACACCAACTCTATACTTTAATGTATTATTTGAATCCTATTGACATCAAATCTGTATTTGAATTCACTTTGAGTACATGAGCCTCCATTTAAAATGTTTAACAAGAAGCCATGCTGTATTAACCCTTCAACCCACTGCATTAAAATCCTGCCCCAACACCAATCCTGTACCACCCACTCTGTGCTGTATAATTAATACTGAATGTGGCTCATTAAAATGGAAGTGTCACAAATTATCTGATTGGAGATATTATTTGTATCTCAATATTTCAGAGGACTCAGGTCTAGATTAGTGATGTACCGAACGGTTCGCCGGCGAACGGTTCCTGGCGAACATAGCATGTTCGCGTTCGCCACGGCGGGCGAACATATGCGCGGTTCGACCCGCCCCCTATTCGTCATCATTGAGTAAACTTTGACCCTGTACCTCACAGTCAGCAGACACATTCCAGCCAATTAGCAGCACAACCTCCCTAGCAGACCCTCCCACCTACTGGACAGCATCCATTTTAGATTCATTCTCAAGCTGCATGCTTAGTAAGAGGAGGGAAAGTGTAGCTGCTGTTCATAAGATAGGGAAAAGCATAGCTAGGTTAGGGATAAGGGTATGCTTTTTTTGGATTTTTTTTTTCTATCTAATGTAAATGCACTTAGTTGTCTGCCACTGCTGCCAGCTTCTGTGTCAGGCTCACAGTGCCCATTTCCCCAGTCAGTGCCACCAATTACATCTGGTGTCACAATAGCTTGGATTTAAAAACAAAAAACTTTTTTCACTGTTATAGATTGAATAGCAGTCAGTTGTCTGCCACTGCTGCCAGCTTCTGTGTCAGGCTCACAGTGCATACTGTGCCCATTTCCCCAGTCAGTGCCACCAATTACATCTGGTGTCACAATAGCTTGGATTTAAAAAAAAAAACTTTTTCACTGTTATAGATTGAATAGCAGTCAGTTGTCTGCCACTGCTGCCAGCTTCTGTGTCAGGCTCACAGTGCATACTGTGCCAATTTCCCAAGTGCCACCAATTAGATCTGGTGTCACAATAGCTTGGATTTAAAAACAAAAACTTTTTCACTGTTATAGATTGAATAGCAGTCAGTTGTCTGCCACTGCTGCCAGCTTCTGTGTCAGGCTCACAGTGGATACGTGAAGTCAAGTAGAATCATCTGGTGTCACAATAGCTTGGATTTAAAACAAAAACTTTTTTACTGTATAGATTGAATAGCAGTCAGTGTCCTTAAAGCGGTGTATTCGCTAACAGTGGATACTTTGACAAGTGCCACTAATTAGATCTGGTGTCACAATAGTTTGGATTTAAAAAAATAATCTTTTTCACTGTTATAGATTGAATAGCAGTCAGTGTCCTTAAAGCGGGTGTTTCGCTAACAGTGGATACGCTGACAAGTGCCACTAATTAGATCTGTGTCACAATAGTTGGATTTAAAAAAAAAACTTTTTTCACTGTTATAGATTGAATAGCAGTCAGTGTCCTTAAAGCGGGTGTGTTACGCTAACAGTGGATACGCTGACAAGTGCCACTAATTAGATCTGGTGTCACAATAGCTTGGATTTAAAAAAAAAACTTTTTTTTCACTGTTATAGATTGAATAGCAGTCAGTGTCCTTGCGGGTGTGTACGCTAACAGTGGATACGCTGACAAGTGCCACCTAATTAGATCCTGTGTCACAATAGCTTTGGATTTAAAAAAAAACTTTTTTTTCACTGTTATAGATTGAATAGCAGTCAGTGTCCTTAAAGCGGGTGTGTTACGCTAACAGTGGATACGCTGACAAGTGCCACTAATTAGATCTGGTGTCACAATAGTTTGGATTTAAAAAAAAAACTTTTTTCACTGTTATAGATTGAATAGCAGTCAGTGTCCTTAAAGCGGGTGTGTTACGCTAACAGTGATACTGACAAGTGCCACTAATTAGATCTGGTGACACAAAGCTTGGATTTAAAACAAAAACTTTTTCACTGTTATAGATTGAATAGCAGTCAGTGTCCTTAAAGCGGGTGTGTTACGCTAACAGTGGATACGCTGACAAGTGCCACTAATTAGATCTGTGTCACAATAGCTTGGATTTAAAAAAAAAACTTTTTACTGTTATAGATTGAATAGCAGTCAGTGTCCTTAAAGCGTGTTTACGCTGACAAGTGCCACTAATTAGATCCTGTGTCACAATAGCTTGGATTTAAAAACAAAAACTTTTTACTGTTATAGATTGAATAGCAGTCAGTGTCCTTAAAGCGGGTGTGTGTGCTGACAAAGTGCCACTTAATTAGATCTGGTGTCACAATAGTTTGGATTTAAAAAAAAAATAATCTTTTTTCACTGTTATAGATTGAATAGCAGTTAGTTATCTTCAAGCGGGTGTCAGGCCTACAGCCTGTGCTCTACACAACTGTGCCAGTGCACATTGCCACTCATATCTGGTCTCACAGTAGCTTGCACGCATAGTACCACTAATCCCAACAAAAATGACAGGCAGAGGCAGGCCACCCCCCAGGGGCCATCGTGGTCGTGGTGCTGTGATTCCCTTTGGCCCTAGAATAATGCCCAGTTTTCAGAGGCCACGTACCCTGAACTTGAAAAGTTCTGAGGACATAGTTGACTGGCTAACACAGGACACCCAATCTTCACAGCCTCCGCTCAGAACCTTGACGCACCATCCTCCTCCAGCTTAGCTTCAGGCACCTCTCAAGATACCACTCACCCGCCTGCCGCCACCACCAAAACTAGCACCACAGCTGCTTCAGTTGGTATGTCAGAGGAGTTATTCACACACATCCGTTTGGAAGAAATGAGTGATCGCACTTAACCATTATTGCCCAGAGGATGTAGATAACAGGGATATGTCTCAGGCGACGGCATTACACACATGGGCGTGCGGTGTGATGATGATGATGATGTTGTACCAGCTGCTGCTTCCTTTTGCTGGAGTTGTCAGATACAAAATTGAAGGCGGTTGATGATGGCGATGCGTCCATGGATGTCACGTGGGTGCCCGCTCGTCAAGAAGAAGAACAGGGCGAAAGTTCAGATGGGGGGACAGGGAGGAGGAGGAGACGAGTTGGAAGCAGGGGAAGGTCGTCGCAAGGAGCTAGTGGCACAGTCAGACAGCATGCATCGACACCCGGGGTCAGCCCGACAGCACGCCAATCAACGCATGCTGTGTCCACCACCAGAATGCGTCATTGCAGAGCTCAGCAGTGTGGAATTTTTTTTGTGTGTCTGCCTCTGACAACAGCGATGCCATTTGCAACCTGTGCCAAAAGAAACTGAGTCGTGGGAAGTCCAACACCCACCTAGGTACAACTGCTTTGCGTAGGCACATGATCTCACATCACAAACGCCTATAGGATCAACACATGAGTACAAGCAGCTCGCCTACTCTAAGCCGCCAGCCTCCTCCTGGTCAAGCATCTTCAGCCACGTCAACCACTGCTGTCCTCCTTGTCCCCTCTCAACCATCTGCCACTCCGCCTCCCGCCTTGAGCAGTTCACGCTCATCTTCCCACAGTCATGTGTCTGTCAAGGACATATTTGAAAGCGTAAAGAAGACAATGTCAGAAAGTCACCCCTTGCCCAGCGATCTGACTGCACAAGCTGTCCGAACCTATTAGCCCGCCAGCTTTTACCATACAAGCTGGTGGAGTCTGAGGCGTTCAAAAAATTTGTAGCTATTGGGACACCGCAGTGGAAGGTACCCGGCCCGAAATTACTTTTCGCAAAAGGCAATCCCCAATCTGTACTCAATTGTGCAAAAGGAAGTAATAGCATCTCTGGCACACAGTGTTGGGGCAAGGGTCCATTTGACCACTGATGCCTGGTCTGCAAAGCATGGTCAGGGCAGGTATATCACCTACACTGCGCATTGGGTAAACCTGCTGACTGCTGCCAAGCATGGAATGCATGGCTCTGCAGAGGAGTTGGTGACACCGCCACGACTTGCAGGCAGTCCTGCTGCCACCCCCTCTACTCCTCCTACTCCATCCTCTTCCATAACCTCCTCGGCTGAGTCCTCTTCTGCTGCTGCGTCTTGCTCCACATCAACGGCA